ATTGGCATTATGAAACTGCAAGCCAAGGAATACCAAAGACTTCTGACAAACCACCAGAAGTTATAAAGAGCCATGGAAGGATTTCCCTACAGTTTCCAGAGGGCAGGGCCACCACCCATGGCTGAAGAATTGTGGTCACCACCTGGCTTGGCCACAAGAACAGAGCACCAAGCCACAGAGAATGATTCTTAAGCCTTAAAACATAATGGGATTTGCCCTGCAGACTTGCAAACTTGCTTTAGACCAATGACCCCTTTTTCCTTCCAATTTCTCACTTTTACAACGGGAGCATATACTCTACGCTTGTCCCACTATTGTATTTTGGAGGTAGATAACTTGTTTTCTAGGCATCACTGGTTTATAGATGAAGAGGAATTTTGCCCTGGGAAGACCCCAAGTCTAACCGATTCTTAATTTAGATGATAATTTAGATGAAACTTTGGATTTAGAGGTAATGTTGGACAGACTGGGTTAAGAATTTGGGGTCTGTTGAGATGAAGTGAGTGTATTTTGCATATGGGGAAACATGAATTTTTAGGGACCTGAGGGCAGACTGTTATGGGTTGAATTGTGTCCCTCCCCCAAAAAGGTGTTGAAGTGTGAACCCACCCCATGCCTCAGAAGTGACCTCATTTGGAAATAGGGTCATTGTACGTATAATTAGTTAAGATGAAGTCATAGTATAGTGGGCCCCTAATCCAACAGGACTGGTGTCCTTATAAGAAGACAGCCATGTGAAGACAGAGCCACCGAAGAACATCATATAATGATGAAGGTAGATTGACTGGAGTTTTGCAGCTGCATGCCTAGGAATGCCAAAGATCGCCAGCAAACAACCAGAGGCAGGAGAAAGTCAAGGAAGAATTGCTCTATAGGTTTCAGAGGGAGCATGGCACTGCTGCCTCCCTGATTTTGAGCTTCTAGTCTCGAGAGCTGTGAGACAATAAATGTATGTTGTTTTAACACACCCATTTTGTTGTACCCTCTTACAGCAGCTCTAGGAAACTAATATAGGTATAATGTAGAAAAAAATAGGAAAGGCTTATTTCTTTGGTTCCTAGAAAGAATTAAAAACTCACGAGCAGAAAGGAAAAGGAAGCAGGTATCCAATCAACATGAACAAAAACTTGCAAGTATTTAAAGCCACCACAAAATGAACTCAGGGTTTTTAGCAAGTCATGAATTCCCTACTATTGAAAATGTTCAAGTGGATGGATCGGAGATGTTGTAAAGGTGTTTTATGCATCAAATGGCAAGTTAGACTGAAGGTCTCCATCTCCAAAATTCTATGAACCTATTAAGGTACTGTCAAATAGACATTGGCAGTTACTTTTTCACCTCTGCTTCAATAAAGGGCACACTGTAATAGCACAGAATGCTAGATAAGATTTAAATCTAAGCTCTAGCACTTACTAGCTATTAGTCCTTAGATAGAGTCCATTGCTTCTCTGGCCTCGGCTTCCCACCTCTTAAACTAGGATATTAATAGTAATTGCTTCATAGTATTATTATGAGGATTGAGCTACTTAATAACTTAAATTGTTTAGAACAGGGCACATAGTAAGTCGTATAGTAGTGTTGGTTGAAAATATACTTGCTTTCATATTGGTGAGACATAATGCATTGACGCTGTCTTTCCATCACTGCCATGTCTCACCTCCAAAACACGGAGAATTGGGAGACAAACTAGAACTTGTTGTATTTTTTGTCTTGTTTTCTAGATTCAAAATTGTATCATTTGGATCATTTATTGACCAAGTACCAGCAGTATGATACTTTGTCAATTTTCTCATAACAAGCCATGATAGTGTGTTAGTCAACTGCTAGGATGAGTTTGTGCAGCAGCGTGTGTGTGTGTGTGTGTGTGTGTGTGTGTGTGTGTGTTTCAAGTGTTTCTGAGAAATAAATCATTCAGCAGCAGCATTTTCAGTAATAAAAACTACAGTTTACCCTAATGAACTTCACCTGAGTTTTTCAGTAGTAGGGTACTGGATTTAGAGGAAGATGTGAAGTTTTTCAAAATTAGATCTTCAGAAATTCAGTTATTTTATTAAATTAGCATCTGTTGGTGACTGAAGGGTAATTTCAGCTTCAGGAGTTAGGAAAAGTATTTTTCAGTATATGAAACTCTTAATCAATGATACTTAATTGTCAAAAAAAAATCCTCATTCAGTGACTTAAATTTAACAAAATGTGTTTTTTATTTCTTCGTTATGTAAAGTTACTAATCACTACATCATTTGGGTGCATAGGAGACAGCTCTGACAGGTTAATAATACTCCAGGCATATTCACAGTAGCTTTCAGTGAAGCAAAATACCAATAAATGCAGTAGCAGTGCTTACACCTATGTAATTCTGAAGCCAGCGATTATATGGAACCTTTGGATATACCAGACAGAAGGAGGGCAGAGAGACAAGCACTGGATGTTCTTTCCATAAAGAGCACCTCAGTGACGAAGCACAGCTTTTAAACATAAGGATATACTGAAAGACAATGAAGGCCCAGCTATGAGAGTACTGAAAAGTATGTTTGATTTAAGGTGATGTTTAGAGGCCATCAAGAGTAATAGAAAGGGGTATCAAGTTTCTAAAATGTATATGTACGTTGCTATAAATACTTCATTTTCACAAAAGAAGGCAACTGAGTAGCTCTTCACTTGGTGTTTAATCCCAGTTCTGTGCTTTATGAGCCGTTTGTCCTTAGACAAGTTCCATGAATTTCCTGTGTCTCAATTACCTCATGTATAAAATATTGGCAATGATATCTTCCCTCGGGATTGTTATCAAAATTAAATGACCTAAGTATATGAACCATCTAGCTCAGTATTTGGCAGTAACAGGGGCTGAATAATCGTTGGCTTTTGTCTTTTAAGCCTCTTCATCTATTAAAGTTCCAAAGGCAGAGTTTGGGAGCAGATAAGGGTAAATGTCACGGATGAGGCAGACACTACAGTTCACTGAAAATAACTAGCTAACTAATTCATCTCAATTCAGTAAATATTTCTTGAGTATCTACTACATGCCGAGCGCTGAGGGAACAGAAATGAGAATAAAAAATGGTTGTTTAACTCCTGCAAATAACAATTCAAAATCAAGTAAAAGTAAACACAGCTTTATGATCCACTGAGAAATGTTTTGCAAGGTAAACAAACTGATTTTAAGCGTGCATTCATACAGATTCACTAATTCAGTGACAACACAGCACAGTCTTAAGTTATCTTTCCTTTTCAATATTTATTTGTGGACTTTATAGGAGTATTAAGTACCTCAATAGTGTTTCTTCATCAGCACCTGGTTTTTTTTTGTTTAATTACTGTCTTCGCCTCTTTGGGCCACTGTTGGGCCTTCGAAAAGTCATGATGTATTTTGTCTATATTTTTCAAATATATATATATATATTTATTTATATAAAGAACGAAGATCTATCAGTGATATATTGCCCATTTTGTTCGATGACTTTTGCCATCTTTCAGTCAGCTTCATAATTCCTCATTCATAGAAGGACATGTCTTTATTTGTGAAAAACTGAACAAGCTTCTGATTTATAGCCTCATCTGAATTGAACATTATACCATGCAAGGAGTTTTGAAGAGAGTGAAACAAATGGAAGTCTGATGGCACAAGGTCAGGCGAGTATGGTGGGTGTGGCAACACATCCCATCCAAGCTCCAATAATTTTTGACGGGTGATCAGACTTGTGTGTAGTCTCATGTTGTCACAATGGAACACAACTCCTTCACAATTAACAAGTTCTGGACATTTCTGGACGATAGATTCATAAAAACTGCCCAACTGCTGACAGTTCACATTCAAATTGATTGTTTGGTTCCTTGGCAGAAGCTCAAAAACACGACACCTTTAAAATCCCACCACACTGAGAGCATAACCTTCCACTCATTAATGCCTGCTTTCGATGTTGTTTGAGGTGAATCTTCACGTCGGGACCAAGACTGTTTGCACACCACATTGTTGTAAACAATCCACTTCTCATCACCAGTTACCAGTCGCTTCAAAAAAAGATTGTTTTCCTCACATTTAATGAGCGTATTGCAGATGTTTATATGCGCTGTCAAATGAACTTCTTTGAGTTCATGCGGAACCCAAATATCAAGCTTGCTTATGTATCCCAGCTTTTTCAGGTGGTCGTGAATGCTTGAATGATTGATGTTCAATGTTTCTGCAATCTCTCATGCCATGTAATGTGGGTTTGACTAGATCAATGCTTTTATTTTGTCATCATTAACCTCGATGGGCCTCCCTGACACAAGAGCATCATTGAGATCAAAATCACCAGCACGAAATTTCATGAACCATCATTGGCACTGACATTCTTGTAGAGCATTATCATCATAAACTTTATGCAACTTTTCACTAGCTTGACATGCGTTCTTCCCTTTTATGGAAGTAAAACAGTAAAATATGACAAAAATGCACGGTTTGGTCTTCCATCTTCAACTTGTAAAATCTTCAAAACTCAACCAAATTGCTCAATTTTTTTTCGAATGAAACTGGACTGTCAGCTATCAAATGACATAGCAATAACCTAGATGTGAATGACTCTAGTACTTCCAAAAATGAACGAGTGCCATCTGTTGCAAATATGCATCATGACTTTTCCAAAGACCCAATATAGCAAAATACTATAACCTGGGTGGCTTATAAACAACAGAAATTTATTCTCACAGTTCTGGAGGCTAAGAAGTTCAAGATCAAGATGCTGGCAGATCCATTGTCTGGTGAGGGCCCACTTCCTAGTTCATAGACAGCAGATTTTTACTATGTTCTCACATGGTGGCAGGAGCAAGGGATCTTTATGGGGTCCCTTTTATAAGGACATTAATCTCATTCATGAGAATTCCACCCTTATGACCTAATCACCTCCCAAAGGCCCACCTCCTAATACAATCATATTGAGGATTAGGATGTCAATTTATGAATTTGAGGAGGACATAAACATTCAGTCCATAACAGTTACTATTCCTCTTTTTTTCCAATTTAGTTTGTGTGGCAGTGTGGAAGAACCACCACATGAGGACAGTAACCAACTACTTCATAGTCAACCTTTCTCTGGCTGATGTTCTCGTGACCATCACCTGCCTTCCAGCCACGCTGGTTGTGGACATCACTGAAACATGGTTCTTTGGACAGTCCCTCTGTAAAGTGATTCCTTATTTACAGGTAATTGTTTTTGACATTTTTGGGGGTTCAAACACAGAAGCTACTATAAAGAGTATTTTCAATTATAGTCATGGTGCTCTATTAAGTTAACTAGTGAGTTGAGAAAGAAATATACTTGCCCAAGGAGTTATCAAACTTAAGGAAAATAGTACTTGAGACTTTCTGCATAAACAAGTTAAGCTCTGGGTAACAATAAAGCAAAAGAATCCTCAAGTCATTTTGAATGCTGCATAAACCTTTAACTTTTTTGATCTCTAATTTTTTTATTGTAAAATAAGGAACTTGAACAAAATAATGACTGAGCATGTCCCAGAACAAATAATTGAGGGCTATCTGTTTTTTATGTGGTTTTATTTCATACTGAGAAATTAAGGGCTATATGATCAAAGCAGCATAGTGAACCGGTTTTAATATAGGTTGTGAACCAAACTACTAGGTTTAGAATCTCTGTCCTGCCATTCACCAAATTGTATGCTATCGAGCCAAATACCTAAGTTCTTTGTGATTCACCTATTTTAAAAGGATACTAATTTTAATCAAAGCTATTACCTATGGCTATTATTAGTCTACTTACATAACTTATATAAATCCCTTGGCATAGTGATTGCTCTCTGGAAGATGATCTTATAAAACCATAGTATGTTCTCAATAAATATCAGTCATCATCATCATTAGATATTTTATTGTTCACTAGTGAAAGCAGATTTCCTATAACTCATTGCCCTACAAGAAGTTAAGAACAAGTACTTTCAGAGAATAATTTTCTGATTGATATTCTGATACCTCTAAAATCTTTGAAAAAAAAATTACCAAGCTAGTGGCCACAGCCATTAATACTAAAACACATGGATTCCCTTAGCAATTGGGCAGTGAGTAAAATGGTGGCTACTCTGCACTTATGTTCCCATACCCCATATCTCGTATCCATTCTCCACCCATCAGGAGGAAATGAAAATGTGTTCCTAATTATAAAAAATTCATACAGGTAGAGCAACTGGACATTGGAAAGCAAATAAATGACACAGACATTACACCCTTTACAAAAAGTTAATGCCAAGTGGATTATAGGCCTGAATGTAAAACACAAAACTACAGAACTCCTAGAAGCTAACTTTAGAAACTCTAGATGACCTTGGGTATGTTGATGATTTCTAAATCAACACCAAAGGCATGTTCCTTGAAAGAAATAATTGATAGGCTGACTTTTTTAAAATTAAAAACTTCTGCTCTGTAAAAGACAATATCAAGACAATGAAAAGACAAGCCACAGACTGCGGGGAAATATTTGTAAAGGATACACATAATGAAGGACTGTTATCTAAAATGTTCAAAGAACTCTTAAAACTGGATAATAAGAAAAACAATCCAATTAGAAAATAAGCCAAAGACCTTAACAGATACCACACAAAAGAAGTTATACAGATGGCGAAGAAGCACATGAAAAGTACTCCTCATCATGTGTCATCAGAAAAACGCAAATTGAAACCACAATGAAATAACACTACACAGCTATCAGAATGGACAAATTTTAGAAGAAACACTAGCAGCACCAAATCCTGGTGAGGGTGAGGAGTAATAAGAACTCTCATCCATTGTTGCTGGTAGAATGTAAAATGGTACAGTCACTTTGGAAGACAATTTGGTGGTTTATTCCAAAATTAAACATAATTTCACCATATGATACAACAATTGCATGCCTTGGCATTTACCCAAAGGAGGTAAAAATTTATGACCACACAAAAACTTGCATACAAATATATATGCCAGCCTTATCCATATTTACCAAAACTTGGAAGCAACCGAGATGTCCTTCACTAGATGAGTGGATAAATAAACTGTGATACATCTAGAAAACAGGATGTCATTCAGCACTAAAAATAAATGAGCTGAAAGCACCAAATGAACAAAATGAACAAAGAAAAACTCATAGATACAGGTAACAATTTAGTGGTTACCAGAGGGTAAGGGGAGAGCAGGGAGGTAGAAGAGGTAAAGGAGGTCCAATATATGGTGGCAGAGGAAGATTTGACTTTGGATGGTGAAAACACAATCCTATATTCAGATGATGTATTGTAGAATTGTATACTTGAAAACTATATAATTTTATTAACCAGTGTCACCCCAATAAATTTAATAAAAATAAGTGAATAAATAAATGAATAATTTAATTTTTTTTAATTTTGTTTTTTAAAAAGAAATGAACTATCAAGCCATGAAATGACAAGGAAAAACCTTAAATGCTTATTACTAAGTGAAAGAGGCCAATCTGAGTAGACTACATACTGTATGATTCCAATAATATGACATGCTGAAAAAGGCAAAAATAAGGAGATAGTGAAAAGATCAGGGGTTGCCAAGGATTGGGAAGGATGAATAGGCAGAGCACAGAGGATTTTTAAGGCAGTATAACAATAATATATAATGATAGATACATGTTATACATTTGTTCAAGCCCATGTAATGTGCAATACCGAGAGTGAACCATAAGGTAGACTATGGGTTTTGAGTGATTGGGATGTGTCAGTGTAGGTTCATCACTTGTAACAGAGGCACCACTCTGGTGGGGGCTGATGATAATAGGAAAGTCTCTGCATATGTGGGGGCAGAGGATATATTGGAAATCTCTGTACTTTCTCCTAAATTTAATGTGATCTTAAAATTATTCCAAAAATAAAATCTTAATAAAAACAAAAGTTGGGGAAGTGCACAAATACCCCTTTAATAGAAATTATATGAATTAGCCTTTTAGATCTGAAATGTTACAGAGATATCTGTAGCCCATTAATTCTTCAATGACTTCTTATAAAAAGAAGTGATACTTTTTTTATGTCAGATATTGATAGAATAGTTAAGTGGGAAATGCCATGGAAATTATAAGCTTCATTATAAACATTAAGTTTAACTATGAGACTATGAGATTAGTTTGTGTAAGTTGGCTGAAAACCATGAATGGGTTACAAAAATAAACTGTAGCAAAATTTTTTGAGAGAAATTGTACATTGGCAGCAGAAAAAAAATATCCTCATAAAAAAAGATCAGTAAGAAATGGGTCTTATGGTATTTTCATGGAAACACTGGGGAAATCTTAATAGCAGAGAATTCTAATATTTCACTATCCCTGTGGTACTTCCAGCAAGTTTTGTATTTCTCTTGGTTCCAATAAACACCCGGAGGGAAATTTGAGGAATCCTCTTAAGTTTCAAGATGGCTTTAGTTGCTCAGAATCTTCTCATTGCTGAGAGACTCTTGCTCTCTCTATGAAACAGAAGATTCCCCAGTGGTGAATGGATGATGAGGGAGGGATGCATCATCCTGAAGTTGGTGAAGTCCTGCTCTATTACACAGTGATACCTTTATACAGACTAGGTATTCCAGGTTCTCCTATGAGCACGTGAGGATAGACTGAAGGCAGCATGAAACAGTGAGTGATGCAGAGTATTGGTCTCTTTTAAAGTTATTGGCAGTATTCTTTCACACAGCGCAACTTCCCAGGTTCTACAGTTGAAGGAACATCTTCACCTCCTGATAGACTCTGCTTCTCTATAAACAGTGTCCAGTCTCATCAACTCCTCAGTTAACCCTCTTCTCTATAGGCCAAGGAGAAAACTACTGGGTAACCATAAGATCTAAGTCAGATGGAAAAGACTGGATCCATATATTATCTCATTCAACATTACTTCTTGATAGACAGTTGTAAATGCACAAAAATATTGGCACACAGGTAAAACTAGTTTCCCCAAAATCTCACAATATTTATTTTCCATAGAATTTTCCCAAATGAAATGAACAGTGTCAATGGTCAACAAGCCATTCTTAAATTTGAGTAGTTTTTTTCTTAGTTGTAATATTCTGAAAATATATAGGCTTTTGTCCTGTATACTATACTTATATCCTACTGAATATTTAGAAACATATTACAAAATGCCCAGCCAAATTTTGGTTGCATTTAAGATTTTTTTGGTGCAGATATGCTAAAATTGGGACCATACAGAGATGATTAGCATGGCCCCTATGCAAGGATGGCATGCAAATTCATGAAGCGTTCCATATGTTTTACAACCAGACTGAAGGTCAATCCCTCCCATTGATGTGTAAACAGTAACCAAGGTTCAACTACAACAGGAGGGCACACTCAACCAACTCAAGGGACACACCTGGATACCCAGCTCACATGACCAGGGAGATTGTGCCACTGGGCCCCACAGGACACTCACTTGGCTCGCTTGATGGCAGTCTTTCAAGTGAACTGTTTTGAGTTGACTATTATTATCTAATAGTAGAGGGAAATACTAGAAATGACTTTATAATTTGAACCATGCTATTTCTATTGTACTGATCCACATTGATTAGAATTCATGAATAATAAATCACTAAGACTTGTTGAACATTATACACTTCTAATTTCTCAGTTGGATAAATATAGGCCTAACCCAGCAACTGTGCACATCTAGATTGTCACAATTCTATTCCCAATTAGCAAGAGTATTGAGGGGCCCTGGGTGCTTGTCATATTTGCAGGGAAATAATGGAGGTTGAGAAGAGAAGAGGATTCTTCTGGGGAAGATACTTGAATGCACTCTAAGGTAGCATCTGGGAATTCCCAGGTGCCATCCAACCTAAGCCTACTCTGATAGAGTTCAGCCCTTTAAGATTATACTTAAAATGAAATTAACCTCCAAGAATTCAACATAGTTTAAGCCTTTACTTGTAATTTCTATGACTATTCTTCATCGAAAAGTGGTCTGTTCCAATTAAAATCTGGAGCTCCAAGCTTGAGAATGGAAGAAAAAGCTAATGGTATAATCATCATTATCATTGCCATAATCGCAATAAGTAATAAACACACAGCATTTCTATGCCAGCACAGGGCCAGGCATTTCACATCTCAACGGACTCTCCCTATAATTCCACGGTTGGGTACTATTATCATTCAGTTTTACAGATGAGAAGACTGAGGCATAGAGAGGTGAAGTAACTTACCCAAGGTCACACATTTATCAAGTGAGATGGGATTCAAGCCCAGAAAACCTCGTTGCATAATTGATTACTACTCTGCTGCCTTTCTAGAGAGAATCAAAGCAATCAGAGTGGCAAGAATCTTATCCTGTCAATTTTACTCACTTAACAGAAAAAATAACAACACATGCACATTAGGCCAAAAGCTGTAAGTGGGTGTCCCAACACTGCACACATAGCTGGCAGGAGAGAGGGAATAGATGGGTCATCCTGATGCCTTTTCTCCTGTGCTGTGTGGGCTCTCAGATCCCTTTCACTCATCATCACCAATAGTCAGTGCATCAGTAAGGAAGGTACTGATGGAAGAAGCAGAGACACCTGCCCTTCTACATATTGTTGGAGCAATGCAACTAGAAAAGAAAAAAGAGAGAGAGATGAGTGGACTGCATCTATTGCCTTAGATGGAGGCTTGCAACTATTCATTAATTCAAAAAATATTTATTAAACACAGAAAACACTGGGCCAGATCCTGGGGACACTGTTATAAGGGGAAAATACAGTAGCAATTTCTCCTGCCATCGAGATTTGTTCCAAAAGAGAAGACAGATAATAAATCAATAAACAAAATAATTACATTATAAGTACTGGGAAAAAAATAAATAAAAATTTGTAATAATCGAACCAGTGACCCTGTTGCTCAGAGCTCACACTCTTAAGTGAGCTCTTAACCAACTGAGCCACTCGGCCAGTCCAAGTCTTCTTTTTAAAGATGAAATTTTGAGAGTGGTATCAGGATCAATTGTTCATCCAGTATAGGAAAATACATTAAATAAAATTGCATGAATTATATTGAAATCATATTATATGATCATGTGGGTATAGGCATGCTTAACATGTTTCCTTACTATTTCCTTACATTTTCAAGTTTAAGTATCCTTTGTGGTGTTAATAGTTATATAGAAATATGGACTAGGTGAGCCTATATACATTTTAGAAGTAAGTTGCTTATAATTGCTATGCTCAAACTTTGATGAGGAGATCAATACACAGAACTCTCTTTTAACATAACTCATGCCTTTCTTTGGGTGCAACATGTTAGAAATGAATTGATGTACAAATAGCCTTTGTTATTTGAAAATATGAAATGAGATACCTATAATTCAAAAATGGTAATTAAATGCAATTGCAATCAAATTCCTACATCATATTTTTAAATGACGTGTTGGGCCGACCAAGTGGTGCGATGGTTAAGAACTGGTTTGAGACACCAGAGGGCCCTTGTTCGGATCCCACATATGAGGGCCAGTGACACTGTCCTCTACAGCTAAGATGCTGAACAACAGCTCAACCTGGAGCTAGGCTGCCATGAGTTGCCAGCAACGGCGTAGACTGAAAACAAAAAAAACAAAAACGACGTGTCATGTTATTTTCTATAAGTGAGAGAGTTTTCAAGTTCAGACTACACATACGTATGTGGTTTTTTTTCTTTTTTCCCTTTGAAGATATGATTTTCCTATCAGTGGAAAAGTTTTAGGACAAAATAATGATAGTAATTCTTCAAAGAATACCATATTATAAATTTAAAACATTTGGCATCAAAGGTTACAATGTTTAAATAGCATCTTGTTTAGTAGGGAAAATTTTTTTTCTAATAAATTTTAATATCATTTTTGGCAGTGTTTGTTTTCAATAGAAAGCACTGCACGAAATGTTTGGCAGCTTCACAAATGATTATTTGTTGTGACTGCTTTTCTAATCAGGTAAAAAATATTAAGAGTGACCCATTGAACACCTGGTGCTTCTCTCTCACTCTGACCTTTTTTCTCCAGACTGTGTCAGTGTCTGTGTCTGTGCTCACACTGAGCTGCATTGCCTTGGATCGCTGGTATGCAATCTGTCACCCTTTGATGTTTAAGAGCACAGCCAAGCGAGCCCGGAACAGCATCGTCATTATCTGGATTGTCTCCTGCATTATCATGATTCCTCAGGCCATTGTCATGGAGTGCAGCACCATGCTCCCCGGCTTAGCCAACAAAACCACCCTCTTCACAGTGTGTGATGAGCGCTGGGGCGGTAAGTACATGATGGTTGGTCCACAGCCAATATTTATGTGAGGGTTGCAAACGGAAGGTTGGCTTTACAGAGCCATTGTAAAGCTGGCCTCCTGCGTTTTATGGGCATTAGTTAATATACTTTTGCAAAAGCATGAACACCAAGTTGAAACCCAAAATAGTTCCACAGAGAAACTCTAACTATTGTTGATCCTTTAGAAATGCTATGCTTTATTACCTCGTGTTCAGATAGGGAATGAAAGGAGGAATCATTCCACAGTTTAGGTCTTGTTATGTTAGTTTTTCTTAAATTCTCTAAAACAAAAAGGACTCACTGATGTGAATCCAACTATGTATTTTGGACTGATTAGCATTTTATAAGATGGTACATTATATTGCATCCACTGTCAAGTTCCCTAATAGGCTCCAAATAAAACTGAAGTTTTCATTTTAAAACCATGTCCTGCCACCAAAGATGCCTGCAGTTGAGTATGTGGACCTATGCTGCTCTCTGAGTCAAATTATATAAATTTGCTTTCTTGGTTTATAACATATTAAATGATAAACTTTATCATGGGCGTAATTATTATATAATGTAAGAATTATATTAGTTATGAATACTTTTTGTTTTCCTATCTGATATGTATGGTAATTAAATTTAAACAAGCAAAAGTTTGGATGTCTTGTGCTCTTTTGGTTCAGAACACTCAGTGACAGTCTTTGAGGTGTCTCTGTGACAGTGGACACACTTTTATCAATGCCTGGTGATGGCACAAATCTGAACATAGCAAAGAATAACAGGAAATAATATAATCCTGCATTTCAGTATAGCATACACTAGTTACAAAGTTATCCATGAAATCTGAGGAAAACAGTGTCCTCTTCTGGATAACTATGTAATAATGGCTCATAACTAGGGAATTTAAACTTTAGGAGCATTTGTGTATTCGAAAGCTGTACAGTTATGCTTATTAGAAAGATGCATCTAAAAAAGCAGTGCACTCAAGAGATTGTTTATGAATCTGATATTTTCAAGTATTTGAATCTTTGATTTTATGTTAATTCCTACCCTGGTACTTTTATTGGAACACTGAAAAGAGAAAAGGTCAGTCACTGCAAAATTAGGCATATACTTTCACTATAGCCAGATAAAATTTAAAAGACACTGGGATTATTCTATACATTATCCAGAGACCTATAGTAACTAAAACTTTACAATTTGCTTTTTCTTTTACCCCAAATATTATAGTTTTGTTGTTGTTGCTGAGATTTACCCTTCTTTTCTAACATTTGGACAAAAGTTTACAGAGGAGGTGTTAATATTTCAGCAAAGCATTCAAGACGAGTAGAAATTCTTCAGACAGGTAAAAAGGAAACTGATGTCCCAGGAAATAAGAAAACCCACACAATGGGCACCATTACTTGAAGAAGAAAGGAAGGGGGTCTGAAATGATAGTTTCTGAAATGTAGGGGTATGCACTCTAATGAACTGTTTTTTGAAAGAAGGGGAGCTGAGGACTGATTGTAACATGTCTCTAATGCAATTGCTTTATAATTAGCTATATTTGGAAAACAGCCTAAATATCTCTCAGAATTCTTTAGTTAACTAATGATGAAACTGAGTCAATAAATTATTTGCTCAGTATTATGAAGCAAACAAGTACATTTAAATTCAAGCTTCCAACTCAAAAGTTGGGATTTTTTTAAGTTTACGGAGATGGTAATTAGATAAAATACTCACCTATTATTCAATTTGTGTCAGTAATAATTTCTCTAAATTATTCTGGTAATTAGTTTAATTTATAAGTTTGTAGACTCCTTTTATAAACTTTTCTTTCTTTTTTTTTTTAATGTTGTCCTGAATAATCCAGTAGCATTCATTCCCATAAGAAGAAATTTGCAAAGGCAGAGAATTTTGTCAGTTACTATGCTTAAGTAAATAGCCACATAATTTTCTAATTACCTTTCAGCAATAAATATTTAAAAATCATTTCAACCTTGACATTTTTATTATGTAGCTCTAGCAGGAACATTTTCTCCCCCAAAAGCACTTGTTGTTGAATACCTTAAAATCTAAACTCAGCCTTCAGACGTTCACTTAGTAAAACTATTTACCAGTGTTTATATATTAGCCCATAATTACTTAAAGTTATTACAAAGGCTAAAATTAAGTGATAGCAAATTGAATTTAATCATCCTTAAAATCAAACAAGAAAACATATGAAATTATTTTTTTCAAATATTGAATGGAATTGTTAATCACTTAATATTTTCAAGAATGTAAAAGAACTCAAAGCAGGTTCTTATCATTTTACTCATTAGACATTTAGTTTATTATAATGATTTTTACATAGCATAAGCTTTGTTAATTTAGGCTATTTATAAGTTCATTTTCAACTTAAAATGTTAAAACTCAGGCATATGTGAGAGTCACAACTAAAACACATCATAGGAAATTACATCTTACAATGTCAGCTCTCTAAAGTTCAAACATCTTTAAAGTCTGAATTTACCCCAATTATTAAAAATGTGTTATGCTGTATCTTTTATTTGAGATTAATTTATGAACTATTTTTTCTCTTTAACCTAAGTTAATAATGTAGTTATAAAAGCAGACAGTGATCTCATAATTGCCTTAAAACGAATATTACACTGTGGAAAGAATCAGTAAACAATGTGGTCACTTGATTCATAGCTATCAAATCACATTTCAGAAAGTCTTGTAAATGCTGTCTCACTCATGGTACAAAATAACTAAGAACTCTGTCTTACTGAAAATGTTACCAGAAAGATGTAATTTTGTGGATAAATTATGTCTGCAACTCATTGTATTCATCATTGCCTATGGCTTGTTAGAAAAAACAAATAGTAGACTACAAACCATAACTTTTGGCAGGCACACTTGACACTCAAAAACAAATAAAATGTATGAATATTTATTTTAATAATATTAAAATGTGTCTTTGTATACTCATATATTCATTGTTTGCTTTAGTCACATCAATTCATACTTCTAAAATTTAAAAATTCTTCCAGAATTATATCCATACTCTCTTGATTGATTGGTTAATAAATACATAGTTTCACAGGATGGATCTTATTAGAAGAAAAGTGACATTCTTTTTGCACAAAATCAAAGATTTAATTTTGTTAACTGTTCATTCATCCAATGATTAATGAGCATGTACTATTTGTCAAACATTGTTCTGGACACTGGGAGTTCATAATCTCTCCTGGATTTTATTGCCAAATTGTTGTTTAGTGGTCTGAAAAAAATAATACTGGATCCTTTCTTTACAGCCAAATTAATTATGGCATCTGGCCTATTATGAGATTTTGAAAGTATATAAATATGTGTGTATGTGTATAAATAGGAACATTTATTGGAAATATTTATTAGGCAAAAGATAATAAAATATATTACAGATTCAAGTAAACTTTAATGAATCCATTAGTTTTAAAAAGACAATCCAAATTGAATATTTGAGAAATTATTTTCATTTACTTGTCCATTAAGTCCCTGATAGGTGTAACATGAAGAAGAAAATGTTTGTAGTTTTTCTAGATAAGTAGATTAACATGTTGGCTCAATAATGGACCTTAACTCATCTGAGAGAAATTAAGTTTTGTCCGTCCAATATATGATATTATTCTTTAATTAAGTTTTGCCTAATATATATTATTCTTTAATCTCTGATTTCAAAGCCTAAAAGATTCACATTTGCTCCTTACTTGTTGGTTTGACATATGTACAAGAATTTATTCAAATATGCCTATTCATCAGTTGAGTAGAGACACCAATTTTTAATGTTTGTCAATTGTCAAAATGCTGTTTTCTAATATAGGTAGTCCTAAATTAGAAATAGGAAATCCTAAATCAACAAATTTCATGTAGCTACATTCTAGGTTATATATAAATGTTTTTAAATATACTAAAGACATTGCTCATCAAGTACAGAGAGACTCCAAAGATTGTTTCAACAGATACAATTTAAAATTTCAATGGTATTCCTGGGTTTCCAATTAGCTTAGACTCTAAATATGAAATGAGGAATTTAAGATTATCCTGTTTCCCCAAGTATCTATAATAATCCCTTTATTGAAACAATCTATCTTAGCCTGAAAGTATGATTTTGCTTGGTCAACTCTTTTCTGTGTGGGTGTTCATTATCATAACATGCACTTACCAACCAATTACATATTTTTCTAACTATTTATAAGTATACAGGCTGCTGAATGAACTTTCCCATCTGTTTTAAACACCAAACTGTTATCACGGTGATGGTATCCATAGCTGCAATTAAAAAAAAAATTACCTATCAAAATCTACCTTCCTCTACTCAATTTAGTCTGATGCACACATCAAGGCTTTGCAGGTATGTAAGCTTCAAAGGTATATTTTTATGTGGGCTTATGTGACACCTTCTTCAAAACAAATAAAAGTTCAAAGCCACTCAGGTGCCTGGAAAGTGCTGAAGTTGCTCTCCAGTTTCTTTGAAATTGGTTCACCAAATGCTGCTAGGGCTGTAGCACTTCAAAGGGGAAGGCTGTTTATTATTCCTCCAGTCAGGCTGCTTGGTTTCTATCATTTTTTTATGTAACAGGCCTGTTTGACAGGATAAACTTGAAAGGAAGCTAGAAACTGATGAGCTAGGTGTGTGCCACTTGGGCTACAAAGAAGCTAAACATGACACCTCAAATTGGTCTCTTAGACCTGGCAGCACAGGCATCCTGCTGTCCCCTCTGAAGAAGACAAAGTTTTAGAAGGAAGAATAAGGAGAATATTAAACCTAAACAACGCCAGAAGATAAGGCTGTGAAGTCAAGAAAGTGGAGGATATTTAACTCATAGATGTGTTTAAAATATATTCAGTAAGAATTAAATGAATGAGGCCTTTTGAGCTTCCTTTGCTCGGCCCGCTCCAAACTCTTTGGAGTGTACTTTCTTTTCTAATAATGCCCCTTGAGCCTTTCTCTACCTTACTGTTTGGGTCACTTCTGTTTCTTTGAAATGCATTTTTTCTCCTAATAAACTCCTTTTCTGCAACTTTAACAATGACAAAAAGTTAAATGAATGATTGTTCAGTAAATGTCATCATTAGTATGGTTATCATCAAAATTATTGTTAGTTAATCCTGACTATAAATTGCCCTTACCACATTTGACCACATACCACTTCTTCATGCCTCTAAACGAGTATGCCCTTTCTGAAATAATGAAAAGAATAACATGCTTGGAGGCGATAGCATTATCCTTCAATGATAGTATGGAACCAACCCCATTGCCAATATCAAAGTCAAAATAAATTATGTAATTTTTAGAAGTGAAAAAAATTTTTGATTAGCATTCAGTTAGAATTACAATTAATTATTGCATTTAATATTCATGGAATTTATGTAGGATTTTTTTTTGTTTTCTGTTTTACATTTAAATAAAAGTAGCGAGATCACTAATAAATTAAAATACCAGATAAGGAAAATATCTTTTAAAGCATTTAAAAATAAAGTAATGGATATATTTTTTAGAAAAATCTAAAAAAATAATGTTAAGTCATTCATTAATTGAGTTATTGAGTCTTTAATAAATGCTTAATCTTTGATAGGTATCACTCGTTTACATAGACTTAATGATAAATGAGAAATCACTATAATCCTAGAGGTGCTCATACCTAATAAGTGAAATATATAAAAAAAGAAATTACCTATATTGGTTTAAAAACTAGCTTTAAAAAGCCCTAAAAATCTCATTTTTATTAAAAGTACATGCACACATACATATATACACATACACAACATACTTAGAAATTTTGTATATAATCTAGTAAGTCAACAAAAAGAATCATTATCAAATATTTGGTGTATTTATTTTACTGAATTTTTTTCCACATTTGAAAGTACAACTGGGAATAGCTTCCCATTTCTCAGGAAACTTATATTCTAATGAGAAGGAATCAACTGAGTCAGCATTCTCTTCCCATTTTAACAAAAGCGGTAGTAATTAGGTTTTGATTGAGTCATGTACCTCTTGTAAATGCAAGTAAAGGATAACCCAAACTAATTTTTACTAATTAGACACATGTAATTAAAACAAAAAGAAAGGCTTTTTGATAAACAAATGCTTCTTTGGATAGACTGTGGCAGTATAAATTAAGAAATGGCTTATTGTTCCTCTTTGAGTATATTAAATGAAATTAAGACTTCACATTTAGTATATATATATAGATATAGATATATACATATATATATATATACAGACACACATATATATGTAAATGTAAGTAGATAATATTGTAAATTATTTTTCCCTTTTGTGTATATACATGCCAGTGAAATCGTATAGAAAGTAAATGTGTATTCTGAAGACAAAACACCAACAAAGTTTCCTTTTAAAAATCTATGAATTATAAGATTTTATTATTTTCACTTTCATTCCAGGTGAAATTTACCCCAAGATGTATCATATCTGTTTCTTTCTGGTGACATACATGGCACCACTGTGTCTTATGGTGTTGGCCTATCTGCAAATATTTCGTAAACTCTGGTGCCGACAGGTATGTATTTCAAACAATTTCCTTGTGTTTTCTTTGGGATGTACTTAAAAACAAAATTTAAGAGTGGATTGAACCAACATAATATGCTTAGCAAAGGACTGTGTATTCTTCTAAAATAATGAGGCCCCGGCTATGACAATATGTCTAGGCATTTTTTAGGGTGACATTTAGGGAATATATTTTGTCAACTGACTTAATAACTTTACATTTTAAATCTCTGTGATTAATTGACAATTTTTGTCTGGGACTAATATTATAAATTTTTCTTTTTTTTTTAAAGGTTTTTATTGGGGAATTGGGGGAAGGGGAACAGACAAGTTGCTATCCTTTTGTTCTTCAGTCCAACCGTAGAGGACGTCGCCTCACTGGCCCAAATTGGCACCATCATTGGGCTCTTTGGGCGAGGCAGATCAGTTGCCAGCTTCTGGAAGGCCGCTCACTGCGGCTGCTGGCCGCTCACGCTGGCTGCTGGCTACACACGGTAGCCCATGGCAACCCACTGCCACAGGGACTGCAGCCCACGCTGTTGCCGGTGACTCAGGGCAGCCCAGCTCCAGGTTGAGCTGTTGTACAGCATCTTAGCTGCAGAGGGCAGCATCACTGGCCCTCATATGTGGGATCCAAACCGGGGCCCTCTGGCATCAGAAGCCAGCTCTTAACCAATGCGCCACTCGGCCGGCCCTATAAATTTTACTTTTTATGAGACATAACAAATAAAAATTCCTTTAAAATTTCCTGATACTGTAAGTATCATTATTTTTTGGATGAGATGTATGTAATACATTTTTATTTTATGGGTTAAATCTCCAAAGATTTTTTTAGAACAGTAAAAGAATCAAGCAAAATTTAGAATTTTAGAAACTATTTATAATGCTGATTTGGGAGTAATGAAGTTTGTTAGATAATTTTGCTATGTCAGTGAATGTATTTATTCACTTAGTTGTTCACTCGTCAAATATTTATCATATTTCTTTTGCATACGTGTCTGAGTAAAAGCTAAATGCTCCGGTCTGTCATTGATTAATTCATAGTCTACAGGAGGGAAATAGTCAGATGCAGAGTGAAAATCACCATAATAAATATAAGCACAGGGAGTCAGAGGAAGCCTTAGTGCAGGGGGATCTAATTCAGAGCAGGTAACATTTAAGTTAAACCATGATGATTCATAAGGAATCACCAACAAACATGTAGTGGTTTATAAAGGTACAAAGGATATAGCTCAGCCTCTTGTAAACTGTATATTAAAATGTCACATTACTTAAAGATGTATATCTCTCTTTCTCTAAATGTATTGCCAGTACTTTGAGATTTCCAGGCTTGTGGAAAGCCATGTCCTTAGTCTGTTTGCTCTGACATATTTTATCCAATTGAAAGAATTTGTTGGGCCACTTTAATGCATTAAAATAATTTAACAAACCTTTCTTTTGTTTTTTGTCTGAGGATGAATCTTAATTTGATTCCTCTTCAACCCTTGTTATTCAAAGCAGTTTTGAAGATCATCTTGGATATGAGCAACAGTTGTGTTTTTCAACCCTACATGTCTCATAATTCCAATTGTTTTCTTTTCCTCTATTTTTGCAAATAACTCATTTCTTTTATGACTTCATAAATGCAACCAATACCAACCCTTATTAGTATTCTCTTCCACAGTCTTTTTAACTAAAATAACAAATGTATACCACTGTAAAACATAAGTGGTGATATTCCACATCCTAACAATTATATCCTTAACACTCTTCACCTGGCCATGAAGTCAGTGTCACATATTTTGGGGTGTTTGTTACTATTGTACCCCACTTCTTCATGACTATTATACTGGTCAGTTTTTGCTAGATTATTCAGCTGTTTAAAAAACAAACAAACAAACAAACAAAAAAGTATGTAGCTTGTGTCAATAGTTTGTTTCACTCATGTTCCATGTCAGTGGTGAGGATGGGCTGTGGCTATGCTCCACTTGTCCTCCCACTCCAAAGCTCATTCTAAAGAAACAGCACTTCCTGGGACACACCATGCTGGGACTAAGGGAAAGGCCAATAAACCTGGAAGAAATATGTAATGTCTCTTAAAATTTATGCTTTGAACTGGCATCATGTTATGTCTCCTCACTTTTCATTGGTCAAAACAAGTCATGTGGTTAAGCTTGACCATGAAGAAGAGAACTATCTTTTTGTCACAGAAAGACCCTGCAAGTCAAAGGGCAATGAGGGTCTTCTTACAAGCTGGGGACTGAATGATTAGGGATGACATAGTACAGAGAAGTCAAAAACATAGATTCAAGGTACAGACTGTATGGATTTCAACCCTAACTCTGCAACTTAATAGATACGTGAATTTTTTCAGTTAGTTAAATTTCTGTGTCTCTCTTTCATCATCATTAAAGTGGGGTTGCATAGCAACTACAACACAGCATTGTTAGAGTTAATAGATGGATTCATTCAAGTACCTAGAGCATAGTGTGTATTACATAAATTAATAGTATAAGCTGTTATTCGACCTTTCAAGTAATTTTGCTTATATTTCTAAAATAACAAGCATGTGTTGAATTGGGGTATGTAACTACTTTCTTAAATAGATTTCTTTCATAGCATTTTAAGGAGGAGTGGTCCATGCGGGAATCGAACTGGCAATCTTGGTGTTCTCAGCACCACACTCTACCGATTGAGCTAACCTGTCACTCCCATTTCATAGCATTTTAAAATAACATTACAATGGTTTTTTATTTGTCTATCTCCTCTAGTAACTTGAAGACAGTACACTCTTGCCTTCTTCTCATATCCTTCCAATTAGTACATGCTTAGCCCATATCAGTTGCTCAATAAATACTTTGTAAGAAAAAAGTGACTAAAAGAATAAGAGAAAGTACTTAAAAAGGTTAGACAGAGGAGGACAAGGGGAATCCATTGCCCAGTTAGAGAGAATGTTGACAGAAAAAGTAGAATTTGAAAAATGTTTTGAAGGAGAAAAAGCATTCAATAAGCTTGTAGGACTAGACATAGTTTAGATTTAGACTAGAAATATTCAGTGTTATAAGAGCATTCTCTAGTTCCATATTTTACATATCATAGATTCTTATATTTACTTATTGATTTATTTACAGATTGACATAACTTTAAAACTCCTTGAGGGTACCTGAGTCTGTCTTGTTCATCACTGTATCCCCAACACTTAACATGGTAACTTACACAATGAAAGCACTCAAAAATGGTTTATTGAATAATTGGATAACTACCAAACCCCAACCAATTTATCTCTTTGTTATTTAAGCTTATAGTTCTCCATTTTTCAAACTCTAAATTAAGTTCAAAATATACTACAAGTTCAGAAATAATCTACATTCCTTTGAGTTCTTTTGGTGAATTGTCCTGGCAAGTCTATGCCACACAATTCAGAATATTTGCAGTAAAATGCCTGGGCTGTGAAACTGAAAACATTTACAAAACATATTGGAATAGAAAATGGCAAGTCCAGCTCAGTTCACTTTAGTAGCCACAATAAACTACATGAATCACAATTGGGGTGATTATGTAGAATTCTGCTTGAGCAACTCTGAGTTCCCAGCTGTTAATGTCTCTGTACAGAGATCCAAGGCATTATATGTGCTAAATCACATATAGGCTAAATCAAGTGAGCCATCAAATGAAGGACCTCTCCTGTTTGCTCATATTATTAGGAAGATGTATAGAATATATTGCATACTTTGGAATTAGTAAGTGTAAGATTATTAGTGAGCAAAGCGTGTGTCCTTGTCTGACTTTCTCAAGAACTTTAAACCCATTAAAATAACTTTAATGCTTTCTTATAATCTAATTAAATTCTCTCTTTAACAATGTGACTCAGAGAAATCAGTCTTGAAATTCTACAGCCTTCTCTAAAACTCCACTTGTTAAGACCTGCTTACTCTTAGGTTACTTGTTCCTGTGTGCATCTGTCAGCAATCTTTCCAGTTCTAGCTCTCATATAATTCAACAAGTTAATCTTAATCATCATGTAGGTTCATGTTCATTCATTCCACAACTATTTATTAAGCAACTACTATGAGTCTGCTACTGTGTGAGAAACGAGATGAACTGTAAGAGATATTCCAATCTAAAACTAAATTTCAGATTTCCAAGTTCTCTTCAATTGTGAAAGACCTTCCTTGTCCCAACTTTTATCAGTCTCTTCTACTGACCTTTATTCTTCCATACTCTTCTAAGAGAACTTAATTAATATTAGGTGATGACAATTCAGTTTATCGTGAGGAAATAGAAAAGTGTAATCACAGAGGCAGAAACAAAAGGCAGTAACTCAATTCTACATATAGAAATAAAGAGCATCAGTAAAGGTAACTACATAGATAAATATAAAAGAGTATAAATGGGGCTGGCTGAGTGGCGCAATGGTTAGGAACTGGCTTGGGACACCAGAGGGCCCCGGTTCGGACCCCACATGTGAGGGCCAGTGACACCGCCCTCTAAAAAAAATAGTATAAATGTATTTTTTTTGGTAATTATTTTCTTCTCATATTTGACTAAAAAACAACAGCATAAGGCAATAATTATAAAACTGAAGATTCAGCTTATAACTTATAAAGATGTAATACAAAGGAGAAAGGAGGGAATGAAGGTATATTGGAGGAAAGTTTTTACGTATTATTAAGATTAAGTTAGCATTAATCTATAGTATTTGTCTTTCCCTGTCTGACTTATTTAACTTAGTATAATACCCTCTAGATCCAGCCATGTCACTGCAAATGGCAAGATTTCATTATTTTTTATGGCTGAATAATATTCCATTGTATGTATGTACCATCTTTTCTTATCCATTCATCTATCAATGGAAACTTAGGCTATTGTAAATAATGCTACAATGGACATAGAGGTGCATGTCTTTTCAAATTAGTATTTTGGATTTCTTTAGATAAATGCCCAGAACTGGAATTGCTGGGTCATAAGGTAGTTCTATTTTTACTTTTTTGAGGAACCTCCATACTGTTTTCCATAGTGGCTGTACCAATTTAC